TGCATTTACTCCGTTGTATGCATTAGAAATGTGTTTTAATTTGTATGTGTTTAAAAGGGGCCTAAATTAAATTACATTCAAATTTATAAGTTTTATTGCAAAGACAACTAATTAATTATTTAGGTACCGATTTAGGGCGTTGTGGGGTGTTAATATTTTCCCACACGTAACCGACTCCCGAACTCAAATTTTTAGTAACGCAGACCGTAAAATTGTTGTTTTAATCAAATTAATATTTTTATTAAAATGAAAAATATGTTTTTGGGACCCAATCACACCCTAATCAAAGATTGGTAGTGACTCCACGAACCGATTTTATTGTTTTTTAAACTTGAGTCTCAAATTATTCGAGGCGAATGTTTTTACAAAATCCCGATTTTTTTAATCGAAGAATAGATTTTAAAAGGAATTTCTCAACATTATGGTTGAAGTTGGAGCAACCGTGCATGGAAAAAACCTTAACTAGCAAGTTACATGTGAAGCAAAGACTTTATTCTCATTGGTTGGTAGAAAGTTCATCTCCAGTAGATCACTTAACTATTTTGAAAGATACTTTCATATTTAGAGACTATGGATGTTCAACATGATAAAGAAAATTTAAGGTTAACTTTCTTTATTCTTTATCCATTTCTTATTCAACCTCCCGGAATAGTATTTTATATAATCGCAGGCCTCTTATTATTAATGAAGTTTATGATTTTTTTATCCTCGTATGATAAGATGAAATATTTCATGGTTATAACTAAATTCCAATATCAGGTAGAAAGTTTCATTGTTTTTGGGAGGACACGAGAATTAAGTGCTAGTGATGATAATAAAATTAGGTCCAAATCTAGAAACTCAAGTAAAATATGTTATTATGAGATTATTGGGCATATTAAATCTAGAGCGTTCAATGTCAAATGATTTAGAGTTATTTTTGAATAGATACTAGCTTGTACATAATTTAGTTAGTAAAAAAATATGAGTGAATTAGTGACGTGAAGAAAAAGGATGATTTGTGTGATTTTTAGGGATTGAAACTATAAAAGATGTTATGAGCAGGATTCATAAAATACTTTATTCATTAAACTATTTGATAGGTCATTGATCGATGACCACACTTGACTTTAATTTTTTTTAATAGTGTAGAAAGTTTAAATAACTTTTAATATTTTAAAAAATAAAAATCAAGTTTAATCAATGTTGAATAACGGTTAATTAATCCAATCAATAATATTTATTAATATATAAAACATATCTAAAATATATAGTATAATTTGGAAACTAAAATGTGCTTAGACCTTTTAGAAAATGGAGATATACAATATTAATTTATGTTTTGCATTAAGTCAACCTCAGGCCTTTTTAACTAAGTTTAAATTAATCTTTTACATTAATTTAATCACTTTGGTTTTACATTAATTCAATGATTAATTAATATTATTATTTAACCAAAATTTCCAACATTTTACAAAGTAAAATTAAACAAAGGTTTCCACCATGTATGAATGTTTGTGGGATCACTCCTAATATCAATGCATATTTTTTTATATTATTTTCCCTCCTTGGATTCTCCACTTTCCATGTTGCCCAAGTTTCTTCATCACACGTGGCCAGTGAAACAACATATTTGCCCAACTTTCCCCCCTTTATTTTCAAATAAAAAGAAGTATTTTATTACTAATCAAATTATTTAAAGATCAACTAACAAGGTTGATTCAAATAGTAAGTAGGTCTCGAGTTCGAGGTAGTATATATGTAAAAAAAATTTGTTGTGAAACTCACCTATCAAAGCTAAATGTACTATGTGGGTTGGTTCAGATTAATAAGAGCAAAGCCATAAAATCAGAAGGGCAACTAAAAATATTTATTTAAAGATCAATCAATAACCAATTAATCTAGTAGAATAATATACTAAATCCTTTAAGTAAGGTTATGAGTTTAAATCCTGTCATTTGCGAAAGATGTAAAATGGGTTAGAAGAGTCACTCCCACATTCGATCTTTGTAGTACTTGATCCATATTAATCAATTAATATATTGAATATCAATAGTTTAACAAAAAAACTATTTAAAACTCAAAAGTTAACTTCTGACATGGTAAATAACAACAAGAATTAAAAGGATCTTTCCCTAATTAACCCAATTAATTTTCAACTATAACAAATATATTTTTATTTTTTATACATATTATGTAGTTTACATCATATAAAGATTAATATATAATGTTTTAAATTAAAATTAGAATGGTTTAAAATCTTTATGTTCAATAATTTGATAAAGGAAAATATATAAAAATATAAAATATTAGTATATTTATTAAAAAATAATATACACGAACCAAAATAAGTTTTAATTAACTATTTAAAAATATAAATAGTCTTAATAATAAAAAAATGCAATTAATTTTTTTCTTAGGATTTATAAATATGAAAAGTCCTACTCGTTGGTCTTTGGTTAACCGTTTATCACTCATATTTTGTTATTACTGTTATTGTGTTTTCCTTCATCTTCTTTTAGTTTTTTTTTTTTTACATATTTGAGTTTTAGTGTTATTTTGTTTAATAATTTTTTATTTATTTTTATTAAAACAATGGATATTTTTTGTATGCTCTCGTGTCGTAATACATTTTATTTACTCTTGTAGTATATTATTTTAGGGTTGAAATTGTGTATCTCCTCAATTGACGTTTATTTGATTATTTTATTGATCTAATCTTAATTTGGACCATCGTACTAGTTTTCTAATATTGATAAATGTTAGTAATTACTCCAAATAGATCACATTTGAATTATGATAAAATCTATTTGTCAACGTTTCATCATCGTTATATTTAATTTTATGTTAGTATTGATAGATATAAACCAAAAGTGTTTTCCTTTATATGATCCTATTTGTATTACTGGGATAAGATCATGTTACCTAATGTAATTTTTTTTAGTTTACATAGATTTAGATTGATTGATCAGTAAAAATAGATGACTGAGATTAACAGTAAGAAATGAGAAGATATTAACAGGAAAAAAAGAGTCAATCTCAACCATTTATTTTCACTCATCCAACAGTTCTAAATTTCTGTAAAATTAAAAAAAAAATTACGTTGTGCAAGTGAATTCTAACCTTTTTCTTATTTAAGGTTTAAGTTGTGCTTTTTTATCATGTTATTCACAGTGATGAGTTACTGGGGATGTGAAAGAATGTTTGAATAATTGACGAATAATTTCACCCCATAATTGGTATTGAAATTTGATCGTCACATTACAAACACTTGTTTTTGTGGTGGGATCGGTGAAAGATGACAGAAGAAGATATTGTTGTGTAATAAATAAAAAGGTTCTATGTCTGATTTGATGAATTTTATATTCTGAACCTCAAGATTGCTTTCTCATTGCATTTTGTCCATTAATCAACCACCATATGACTATTGAAACTATGACCATTGATTTCTTACTTCTGCTTACAACTAATGTGACACTGCAACTTCTCCTACATTGACAACTGATACAATCATATGCTGTGGATTGTGATTTATTTTATATCAGTTTCTTTAATAATATAATATATCAAGCAATACCTATCAAAATAATTAAGTTATTTCGAACTCATGACTTCAGTGGTAAAAGAGAATAATATCTTCCTCATAAGTCTTGAGTTCAAATAGTTACGTTTGCAGTGCGTGTTGTTAATTAATTAAGAAAATTTTGAACTGGTACTATCTTGTAATTACGCCAGACTATTTGATGTTAATTAATTAAGAAAGTTTTGAACTGATACTACTAAGTTAGTAGAATTGAATAGTCCTATTTTATAACTTAAATTTTATTTGAAAATTTTCCAAATCGAGTTTATGACATTCGATCCGAGTCAAACCATTCGAGTTTCAATTTAAATTAATATCTATAATGTTATGATACTAATTGATTCTAATTGAAACGGTTTCCTATAACTATATATAATATACATATAGATTTCAACATAATTTTCATATGCGATATACATATATCATTTAGAATTGAAAGACTTGATTCGAACTTGAAAACCAATCCACTCATTACTAAAATTTTGAGTTATTGAAATCTTATTTTTAAACTCAAATTTTATTTATATTTTTTAATCGAGTTAAATTAAGTCAAATTTGTTAACAACCAAAAAATAAAAAAAATAAGTTTTTGATCAATCGAATTTCTTAATCCTAATAATGTATTTATTGTGATCCTAATCTCCATAATCAAACATTGAAGAGCTAGCTTGGCTTAAACTGTAAAACAATTTAACTGTAAGACTGAGGAATTTTTTTATTTTGAATATTTTTTTTTGGTGATTATAAAGGTAGTTTTAAGGTTAATATTAAATAATATTTATTTAAAATATTTTTATTATTTGATATTAAATGTTGATATATCTATATATGTAATACTTTAATTCAAAATTTCAAATAATAAAAATAATCAATTAATTGTTGAAGTTGTTTGGTTCATACGTCATAATTTTTTTTAACGATTAATAATGAATTTATATCTTACAAATCTAATCTTTCGTTTTAAAAAAAAAGTAACATTCCCGTTGAAAATTATGTGTACTATATAGCACCATGTGTAGAGAGAGAGAGGGGGGATGCATACCCTTCGTTTACTCTGTGCATGTTTCTTTCTCTCACTGTCAACCTAAAAATCGCTGTCATTCAGTCTCTCTGAAACCCCATCACCACCCCTTCCCTACCGTGTCTTCTTCCTATGATTTAATCATTTGAGAGCTCAGTCCTTATAATCCCTTCCTTTAGCCTTTTCATGAATAATCATTGATCAATCTTCATCCTCTCTAATGGCTTTCCACCCTCATGCTTTCATGTTCCAATCCCATGAAGATCAACACGATGACCATCTCCCTTCCCCTCCCTCAACTTGCCCTCCCCATCTCTTCCATTTCCTCCCTTCTTCCTCCCTCTCTCTTCCATCTATCTCTCTCTCTCTCTCTCTTATATATATATATATTCTCTTCGTTTTTTTGTGTGTGTTTATGTTGTTTGGAATTTGGATCTATAGGCGGCGGCGGCGGCGGCGGCGGTGTTGGTGGTGGTGCGCCGTTTATGATGAAGAGATCAGTGTCGTTCTCAGGTGTGGACAAGTTGGAGGAAGTGCATGGAGACGATGAATTGTCTGATGATGGATCACATCTAGGGGAGAAGAAGAAGAGACTGAATTTGGAACAAGTGAAAGCACTGGAGAAGAATTTCGAGCTAGGCAACAAGCTCGAACCCGAGAGAAAAGTTCATCTGGCTAAGGCCTTGGGGCTGCAACCGAGGCAGATTGCCATTTGGTTCCAAAACAGGAGGGCTAGGTGGAAAACCAAGCAATTGGAGAAAGATTATGATGCCTTGAAGAAAGAGTTTGATGCTCTCAAGGCTGATAACGACGCCCTTCAAGCTCAAAACAACAAACTTAATGCTGAGGTAATATCTATATATATATATACACACACATATACATATAAGTTGTCTTCTATTCATGTTTCTCTCCATTGATATACTAGTGCTGTGTAGTTGTTGGCTTTGAAAACCAGAGATTCCAATGAAATCATCAGCATCAAGAAAGAAAACGAGGGTTCATGGAGCCAAAACGGAAGCGATAACAGTTATGACATCAACTTAGATATCTGCAGAACTGCAACAACGCCATTGATGAGCAGTAAACAGCTTTTCACAAGGCCGACAAGCATGACTCAGCTTCTCCAAGGCTCATCAAGACCAGACCTCCAATGCCTAAAACTCGACCAAGTGGTTCAAGAAGAGAGCTTGTGCAACATGTTCAATGGAGTCGATGAACAGCAAGGGTTTTGGCCATGGTCCGAGCAGCAAAATTTCCATTGAAAAACACCGAATTCCCCCCCGACAGTTGATTAATCATCCATTTTCACCAGCTTCTGCTTAACAAGTTGATTAAAAGGAAGAAGAAAAGCTAGGAATTCATTTTTTACATGCCAACTTCAAACTCTTGTTTTGGCTGTAGATTTGGTGTATAGAATTGGACATATTTGCTTCCACATATCAGAAAAATCAATATGGAGAGTTGGTTGGCTCTGAATAATACATTTTCTTTTCTTGCTTCCCATAATTTGATGAATTTTGATATATTTTCTTGGTTGGATCATATCGTAAAGAGAAAAATAAAATAATTTAGCCTACATGTGCTACTGGGTGGCTTTCCAGCTCAGTCATGCTAGCCTACACGTGCCCGATTCAAATATGTATGTGATTAACACACTTCATCTACATCTCCGATTCGAATACATATAAATTTATTCACGATTAACCGAAGATCGAGTGAGGTAAAGACGATAGAGGAAGATTCTGTGCAACAATTCCAAGGGGAAAGAAGCCAAAGAGAAGGGAAGAAAGATATATACACATATACATATATATATTTATCTGACAAGAGAAAGTATCTAACTGTGCCCCTCTTCTGTAAGCAATCCATGTGACTTTACTGTCGACCAGTACTTCTTCCCCCTATCATTGTCACTACATCATATAAAAGAAACCCTTTCATCATCTGTGTTTTATTTTGCAGATATCATGATTAAAAACTGATAGATCGCAGTTTTTGAATGTAATTCAAATGGGACTATGGGGTGTCCATGCATGTTCCTAATGTGGAAATGTAGGGTTTGCTTCACTAAATTTAGGTCATGGATTTTGATTTTTTCATGCATTTCTTTTTTAAAAAAGTTCGAGTTCATAAAATCATTCGTAAGTTCGAATCCGAACATAATGCTCATGGCATTGACATTATGGGGACATTTAAATGTGGGGTATCATAAAAGCACATGCTTTTATGTGATGGGTCAACTCTAATAACATTAAAGAAACAAATTAACTTGAGCATTAATCTACTGTTTTTTTGTTGCTGTTGATCAGATCCCAAGAAAGAAAAAAGGACAATCTTTTTGCTTGCAGGTATGTTTGTTTTTTAACAGCACCAAACTAGAGAAGATTTAAGTTACAGAAAGACGAGAAAAATTAAAGAAGTTGTCCCTTGTTTCTTCTATACAATCTTTTTTTATGTCACAAAAAGGTCCCCAAAGTGTCCAATTGTGCAGTGAGGCTTATCTTTATCTTTGTTGGGTGGGGGACGAGACTGTAATCTATTCAAAATCTGGGGCTAAACAATAATAATCTGATAATTTAAGCAAAATACTGATGCTTTGCTTGGTTTTTTGGGTAGCTGTCAGATCTGGAAACTGAAATCAAATGGACAACTTGGCACTGTTTAGGATAAAAGATTCCTTATTTTAACTAGAAGCATATGTTGAAAAGTTATCATCTTTGTTATACCTCCGGAAATATAAATCCTTCGAATTCGGACGTATTACTCTCAAGTAAAAAATTTGTAAGGATAAAATCTAGTAATCGATGATTATATTTATATATCTTATTGACTTATGAACAATAATGATAATCCAAAATATAACACTAATATGCATGAGGGGCCGGTACATAAACCTCAATGACAAGTAAAGAAAGAGATCTTATTTTCCTTCAAACACTTCTTCTAAATTCATTTCAATTCGCAACTTACTCATATATCTTTAATGTCAATATTATCGAATATTTTCCGATCAATTGTTAACTAGACTCTTTATTCAAATCAGAAAAAATGAATTGTTCACAATCGACATAATCATCTTATTACTATTAACAATCCTTAAAAGGATGGTGGTTTATACCCTAGTTGTTGTTTTCAATTCAACAAATTCATCTGTTAGCCTAGTAGCATCCAAGATGATAACTCAAAATTATTCAAACTCAAAATGATTCAATTTGAAATTATTGAAGCCCGATATGACTCGAAACAAGGGGTGAATACTTATTCCCTAATTTTAGGGAGTCAAGTACATCTCATTATTTTAGATAAGTACTTAAATATAGTTTAATATATTAAGAAAAAAAAAGAATGTATACTCATTTTATTAAAAAAATAATTTTTTTAAACTTTAATTTTAAATTTCTGAATTTGTCGGCTCGAAACCAAAATGAACATTGATCAAATTCATGACAAAACTTGCATAGTTTTGCCATATCTTGTTTGATATACTGGACCAGGTGCAGCCAATTGTCATACATAGGGAAAGACAAACGTTTACGATATCTCTAACAGATTAAACTTATATTTCTTATAAGATTTTGATGAAATTAATGAGGGAAAACCGGCATAAATAGGGAGCATGGGTTGAGTTTCGACTAACCAATCCGACCCGACCTGAAAATATATACCCTCTATCAGACCAAAATTAGACCCAATTTTTTGAGATAAAATCCGAACTCAATCTCACCCTACCCGAAATAATAAAAAATATTATTTTTATTCAATAAAAATATTTATTTAATTGAAAAAATAATATATAGAGAGGTATTATTATAATTATTCTTAAATATATAAGGTAAAATTATATTTTTCCTGGTCGGGTTAGTATTTTTTACCCTAAACCCAATTCGACCTGACCCAAACTCAATTTCTTTTGAAAAAAACCCGATTCGATCCGATCAGGTCAGATCAAACCGGTCGAGATTGGTCTCATGCCCATCCCTCGGCATAAATATGGTTGTTTAAGTTTAATCAACAATTATTATTATTATTAAAGGGTTTTGTTTATGTTCTTTGTTCTGTTGCAAAACATGGGGCAGCCTATGGCGGTGGTCAGAATATTGAAAGACCTTTTTGACTGTTTCTCGATTGTTTTTCTTGGGAATTCTCCATTGAAATTTGAGATGGGTCTCCTACTTTATTTTAGGATAAATCATGCTTTTTAGTATTTAAACTATTAATTTTGATATGTTTAAATATCTAAACTTTTAGTTTTATTAAAATCATACCTAACGCTTAGTTTTTATTTCGTTTTAGTACACTATCGTTAAAAACTTAACGGATGGACTAATATGACATAACTCCGGTGGACGGGCGACCAATCTAAACAGTGGACCACAAGAGAATGACGAGTCAACCAACATAATTCAGTTTTAGGCCCATTGGATTGTGGACCATATATATTAGAGGATGAAGAAATCGAAGAGTTTATCATCGATTTGGGGAGATTGAGGCATTTTCCGATGAAATGAACTTCAGAATCGCATTTAGGGGGTCGAAAATGTGTGGGCTAGAAAGTTTGGGCTTCATCGGCCAACGATTGTAGACGTGGTGGCCGGTGAGCCTATCTAAATGAAATAAAAACTAAACGTTAGATATTATTTAAAAATTGAAAGTTTAGATACTAAAATGAACAAAAACTGATAGTTTAGGTACTAAAGAGTAGTTTATCCTTTATTTTAATTCCAATGGAATCCACGTTTTTGCTCATATGTTACAGTTATTCTTGCCAAGCTAAGAATGTAATAATATACAATAATCTTGCTTTCTCTTTTAATGTTTTCACATAAATTATACATATAAATTCTTCTAATTATTAAAATAGTTAATTATTGTGGAGACTATGGGCGCTTATCGAGCGAGTCGATCGCGAGTTGGATAGTGCTCGACTCGTTGCTTGTTGTTGAAGTACACTAGTGCATGCAGTTGCTTGTGCTCGTGCATGGATGGTTGCTAGTGCTCGTGCATGGATGATTATTGCTCTTGGAGTTGCTGTAGTTAGTTTGTTAGTCATTTAGAGTTGTTAGTAGTCTTGTAACTGTATGAATGAATGTTATATAATGCATGTAAAGGATAGTGTTAATCAATGAGAAAGAGTGCATTTGTTTATGGTTTGTAGTTCCTTAGTTTAATAGATGCAAGCTCTTAACATGGTATCATTCGTTGTGTACATAGGCTTTCTTTCACTGTTCGTGTTGTTATGGATCAAAGTGTTTCCTCCACAGCCACTTCAATGGAGTTTTCTACAAGAAACACCAAAGTATTCACCAACAAAAGGGTGAACGTAATTCTTGATGAAACAAACTTCCTGCTTTGGAAACAACAAGTGTTACTCACTATGAGGAGACATCGTCTTAAGCGAATGTTGACTGGAACGATGTTACCTCTCTAGAAATGGTGGTTGGTGAAGCAGGAGTTACAGTTGTCAATGAAGAGTATGAGGAGTTCTTGGCTCAAGATAGTGTGTTGGCTTCTTGCTTGCTATCAACGGTCAGTCCTCATTTACTCCCTCAGTTTGTTGGGGATGAAACATCAGCGCATGTATGGAACAAAGTCTTGCAATTCTTTGTTAATCGTTCTGCCACTTTTGTAATGAGCTTACATTACAAGCTACAATCCCTCAAGAAAGGAGGAAATAACATGGAGTTTATCTTACAAAAGTAAAAGAGGTTACTGATGCATTGAATTCTTGTGGAAGTCAAGTTTCGGTATCTGAACATGTTGCAAGCATTCTTAAAGGCCTTACAAGGGAGTATCAACCCTTCATAGCAGTCATATCTGCTATGTGTGACACGCTATTACTTGACAACATATATACCATGCTTATTGATACTGAAACACATCTTGAGGGGTTCGATTACTAGCCTGAATCTCTTCCTGTTAGTGTCAATCTTGCACAAGGGAAGGTTGAGCCTGATTCTAACAAGAATCGGGAAAAACAACAGTATTGATCCAATCATCCATCCTACTCGCGTAGGAGGTCTCGAGGCATAGGAAAGGATGACATAGATTTCAATGCCAGTTATATGGCAAGAATGGATATCTAGTTAGTCAGTGTTGGAACAGATTCGATGAGGACTTCTCTGGTATAACACTTGATGATCATGCTTCTGCCCTTGAATCCTAAAAAGTTTACTATGTTGCAAATATGAACAATGACAATGCGTGTACTTACTGTAATCACAATGGCACATATCGTGATGATAACAGGACTGCTGGGCAAAGTTAGGCATATGCAGTTTCTGCTGGTTAAGATCAGTGGGTGATTTACTCTGGTGCAACACACCATGTTACTTCCAACGCAGCCTCGATCACTCATCACTCAAATTGTAGCAATCTTGGTAAGTTGATGGTAGGGAATGATGATTCCCTACCTGTTCATATAGTTGGCAAGGCTGAGTTGCATGCTTCATCACGAACTTTGTCTTTAAGTAACATTCTACATGTTCCTTCAATAACTAAGA